TCATAAAAATGAAATCTTAAACAATCACCTATTAGCATTTATTAAGTATGTATGTAAACACATACGAAACTCATTATTAATTTGTTTTAGGGATAATAGACAATTGATTTTTTTTGTTTACAGTTTATTTTCTTTTAATGCTATTATATTTCTAGCTGTATAATTTCGATATATATCTATTCGGATAACTGTCGTTTATCATTTATTTCGTTAATATGCTATCATTGTTAAGGATTTGTATTAAGTCACAAAAATTGCTTCTTGTGGGATTGTTATTTTCTATCAGAGCTTGGTACTTTTTCTATTTTCTTATACTTTTTTACTTTTTCTCGCGACCATCGGTCAACGACTAAAAAAATCCCAATGAATCTTTTATATTACTAATTCAAAGGAAGGAAGCCTTAGGAGTTGTAAGAAGCCTTACGAGAATTTAAAAAAAAATATTTTATATGTATCAAAAAAATCATCTTTCAAAATTATTTTAATTTTAAAGTAACTATATGAATTGATAACTTTTTTATTATTTAATTTTTTTTCATGTTATAAATTACGAAAAGTCAACACCAATTGGATATCCGATTAGTAATGATATCCTGTAGATTTGTATATTTTTTTTTTGTTTTGTATTCTTGACTCGTCGCAGCCTCAATAAGGAATTTCTTTCTAAAATCAATTTTTAAATAAAGATTCATTATAATTTTTTTAAACTTAAGTAAGATTGTTAGAATGGGGATCCCTATTTTTATTGTATTTTTTAATCGATTATTTAGTATATTAGTTGCTTTTAAATTTATTATTTGTATGTTTTATTTATTGTTTGTATTTATTATATTGGTACTCTTTTTTTTTTCTTTTTTTTTTTTTTTGTCCTTCCCTTCCTCCCCGTTAAGGCTATACGGGATTTTCCCAGGTCAGGGGGTGTGGGCAGGGATTTAAAAGACTCCCCCGGCACTGGGTCGCGAACTCGGAACTATTTTTATATCTTTGATTCATTTATCAGGTTGCCGGGCAACGGTGGTGCAGTGCAAACGCGTTAGTCCATTCGGCCACCCCGCCCACTATTATATTGGTATGTAATATAAAAGGTACAAGGCTACTATAATTGGGGATGGACTTTTGGAGACGCTATTGTGCCATTTCCAGACTGCAGAATGTTCCCAATAAATATATTAGGCGGGATATTTAGCAAGAAACAACTATGCATGCTTTACGACATAGAAACGAAAAGGTTGAAATGGTGTGTCCATTTACAGAGAATGACGAAGAAACGATGGCCAAAATTAACCTTTCTCTGTCAACCTATAGAAAGGCGAAAAAGAGAACAACCAAGGAATAAATGGCTTCATGATGTGGGGAAGGGCATGGCTACTTTCGAAAGGAAGACTGGCTAGACCGAAAGAAGTGGCGAAAACTTTTTGATATGATATATAATTAAGTTGTAAAAAAATCTATAGTAAGCCAATTAAATTTATCTATACTTCAAGTACAAGATAAGAAGTCCGTAAAAGATTGGACTGACCAAGATCCCTTTTATTAGCCATTGATCGATTGTGGGATCGGAGGTCTACCTATGGAACATCACACAATAATTGGATTTATTTCACTTTTCAGTTATGACTATCGCTATCAAATGTTTTAGACATACATAAACACGTGTTTACTAAATCCCTTTAGATGTCTTATTCTAATTTTTCGAACTCAATTATGAACTCCCAAGAATTGTTGGGACAAAGGTTGGGAATATTGGGATTTCATCTCGCAACTTTCACCCCAGGGGTCTCTGGAGGAATGTGGTCCCTGAAACCAGGTGGTCCTCAATGGTCATTGTATGGCTAAACAGCTGAATCCCACCATCCTATGGGTCGAATGTTACAAGTGGAAGAGTGCGTTTTCCCATTGTTCGTTTTGGACCAGCCGCCAAAACCCTAGATCTGTCAACAGACTTTAGAAATGGCCTAGTCTCTTCTAACAAAGGCGCTGAAGGCCCGTTCCTGTGTAGTTTTTTATTTGAAGACGTTCAGAATAACGTTACTGTTACTTGAGATACTAATGGTCCAGAAATGGGTGGGTTTTCGTACTCTGAAGAGGGAAAAACTTACCGACCCGTTAATGATTCCGAGTTGTTACGAACAGCAATGCATTTTAGCTTATGATTTTTTTTTAAAATTAAATAATTGCTTATCAATGATAGATTTTCCTTTAATAAAAACGCATTGTTCGAGTATTATCTCGGTCAAATCACTTTACAAAACCGTTGACCAAGAAATAGTGCTTCCATACAAAGAACTGAACCCAAGACCTTTCATGGCAGTTTTTTAATGTATACGGTTTCCTTCTTGTGAAATAAATTTCCTTCAATTTCACGCTTTACTACTCATCAGGAACACATTATGCCGAATTGAAATTTCATTGTTTAAAAAAAAATAGGTTTTAATTAAATACCTTTTATGGCTACATTACGTGAAGAAATGATAACTTAATTTTCTTTTAATTTATTTTTAAAGGTTTTGTTTATTAGATAAAGAAAAACATTATTGTTGCACATTAAGAGAAGGATGGATGATCAGTCAAAATAAAGAAAAGTGAAAATAAATAATTATATATATTTTTATATTTGCAAACATTTCGGCTTGAAGTTCAGGTCTAAGAAAATAAAATAAAATAACCAGATAACCATTTCTCAACCCTGATGAAGGCCTGAATATAAAATCGGCAAATATAAAATTAAATATACATATTTATTTTTACTATTCTTTATTTTGACTGACCAATCATTATTCTCTTCAGTTATTCACCAAAGTCAACCATTAACCCACAATTTATATAAATATTTGTCGCTTTTTTTTTAAACATTTGACTTTAATTCAGTAACCATCAGTATATCTACAGCCACACTGCAGAAGCCTGTATGTGCAAAATACAAAATTATTTATAAGACGAAATAAACTGTGTATTTCTTAATTTATGAAGTAGATTTTCCGTTTATTTTTTATTGCATGCGTAAGACGAATGAAGATGTGATGTTCTAAATAACGTTAGTTTGATTTTATGAATATGTCCGATGCCAAGATTAACCGACAAAGTTTGAAACTGCACAGTCTAATTAAATTATATTTTCAGGCTTTTGTAGTGGGGTTGTCGATATCATGAATTAAAATGAACCGACCTAATGATGAATAATGTTTTTAAAAATATATTAATTTTAAATTATTGTTAAAGCGGTTCTTAATATATCCTGAAATATAAGTTCAATTTATTATACATACATCCGTTTAAGTTTTATATTATAATGTTTAGTATTAATAAATAATTGTTTGAATTATTTTATAAAAATAATTTTGCAACAATCATTTTTTTTTCTTCTTTTCCTTTTTAGTTTTTTTTTTTTTTTTATGAAAATCAGTTATCTTGGTTTTTCTGCCCTTATGATATCTGAATTAGCGTTGTCAATTTTATTATTCACCTGTATGTTTGGAGACTCATGGCTTTGTTGTTGGGATTTCATATTTATAAATAATTTATAATCAAACCAATTCATTAATAAGAAATCCATTAATAAGTGATTACTTTATTATCTAAAATAATAGAAATGTTTTGTGTATTTGCTCAAGCTGTATAATTTGGTATTGATATCATTTTAGCTTGGTCAAAAATACTTTTTCCTCCCTAAAACTTTTAAACTCAGCTCCTATCAAGGAACCCTAAAACTTCTAATCATAAATCCGTCAACGACTCGGTTTAGGCCATGGCGTTTTTAGTCAAAATACTTGGGGCCGAAGTTTTTCTTCTCTTTCATCTCCATTTTTTTTTTTTGTACCCTTTCCCTTTGGTAAACAGAAATTTCTACAATTCCTGAAATAATAGGAGTGTGGTAGTTTGCCAAATTGGCCAACCTTTTCATCCAGTTTTTTACTTCCTTCAGTTCGGAGTATAAAAATAGGACAGGAGTTGTAGCCGTCAGTTTTCTTATAGGTTTTGACAAAATAAGCAGTCGTTCTCTTTGAAATATATTTCATCCGACTAAATAAGAACAAAAATAAAAAAAAAAAATGTATATTTCTCATCCAGTCTTTCTTTTTGATATGCTATAGATAATTTGTATGATTCCATTATTCTGTCAAATTTCAGGAAAATGTTTCGTCCAATCAAACATAATTAGAATCGAATACTGCATGGGCATATTAATGAGCAATAGCCAAATCGGTTTTAAAGAGAAAAATGGTACACCGTACTTTGATAGCATAAAACAGACAACGCAGTGATAATATTATTTACCTTATATTTTTAAAGTTTACTCAGAGGAAATCATAGGAAGAAATGATGCCAAATTCGAACTTTCCACCAATCGCCGGTTCCATACCTTTCTCCTTCAACACTCTACAAAATCATATTTCTTAAGATAGGCCTTTCTACCCACACTTCAGGCTAACACTTGATAGATTCAGCTATAATCACCTTATCATCGGGATCCATACTCCTCATGTTCTAAGTAATACTTAATTATAGAAAACCTTCAAGACCCTAACCATCTTCAAAGAAATTAGGATTGTTTGACACCCAAAGAAAATCTGCATGGGTAACGCTTTTGTATATTATAAATGCATATCAAAGTTTTTGAGACACGGCGCGAATTTAGTTATTTCGCTAATGAAAAGTAATCAACAGCAACTTTATTTCTTGCTGTCCTCTGTACCTTTTTCCAACAAATTGTAATATTAGTAATATACAGAGAGATGCGAAACCCTTTTACATCACGGCCCAAATGGTTCTCTGAAACATTCAACTTTCTTACATTTCCAAAAGAAAATCCTTCTGTAGCTCATTATTTTGCTAAAAATGTATGCTTCTAGTAATACCTAAATCATTCTCCGAATATGTCTGATTTGCTTTATCTCTCGTTACTATTTTATTTGAAATTTAACAAAATACTGTTGTTTTTTTCTTTGTTGCATTGAAATGTTTTAAATCTCTAATCGACTGTGAAGGATGAATCATGGTTTTCATCCCTTCGAATTCTGTTGATGCCGAAATGAGCGCCTATAAACTGCGTTTAGATCGGATCTCGATGAGTTGTCGCCAGTGTTCCGGATCGCTGCAAGAACTAACGACATCAAAGATGGTAGGTACCACCCTTCGGTGAGCCATCTAATTGGGGCTGCGATAACCAATAGGACATTTCTTACAGCCTCTGCAGGGGGGCTAAATTCAATTTCACTGTTTAAAAAGACACGATCGTCTATAAACGATAGTTTCCTGTTTGGACGAGGTTTTTTTTATTCATTAAGTCTTGAGCAACCTATTTCATTTTTATTGTTCTTCGTTTATACTTTAGGGCAGATGTACTATCCAATATATTTTACGCAGTGAATAGAAATAACTGAAATCTAGCCACTTCATAAGATATGTATTGAAGATTACTTACTAAATTTAGATGTTGCATCTCAGGGCCGACGAGTGGGTTGTATGCGTCCGGGGCAAAAGTTTACTAGGTGATCTTCACATCCTTCAAAACCGGCAAGTTTTCTTTTTCTCTTGCGCTCAGTGGAGTAACTAAGTTGACTCCGCCTCAATGCAAAATATTTTCTCCAAGCCCTTCCTCTCGTAAAATAAAAAACTTTATCCTTATTTCTCAGCATTTTTTAAATTCTTTGCTAAGAATACTTAAAGGATTATAATTATGCAAACGAAATGAATAAATATTTTTTTGTTTGCATAAATGCTTATTTCCTGTACCTCTCATTCCACTGGCTCTGTGCACCAATACGTCGCATAGGTATGTTTTATTAATGCCACGGTATTTACGTTATACTTATTATACATATCTTTTCATTTTCACCAAGGATCGTTAAATTTCAAATCTCTAGCCAGCATGTAAGTTTTCTAACAGCAACTGGAGGTTATAAATAATAATTTCTACTTGATAACTTTTCGACTGATGAAGATGTCTTAAGAATATGAAGAATAAGTTGCAAATAAATAAATAAAATCAAAGTGGAATAGAAATAGCACCATTATCAAAAATTTCATATATTATTTATTATTTTACCCTAGATTTGTGGTACTCCCACCCACGCTGCGGCCCTATCGGAGTTTATACTGATACATCACCTTCATCTCGTGCTACTACAACTCGCGTCAAGTCCTGATTTCCTCTGGCAACGATCTACACGTGTTTCCGTCCTTTGCTACCTCTATCATATTCTTTGTTCCGGAGTCATTGTGAAAGGAGTCCTTGCGTACAGGAGGCCCCCCAAGTCGACACCCATCGATGCAGAACACAACGAAACATATGGTAGCTGCACCAGTAATAGGCACTGTACCAATAATAGACACTTTTCTACTCATTATTAAATAATAAACTTTATGAATACTAAAGAAAGCATAAATATGAGTAGATTTTCAGCTAGAACATTTAAGAAGTTTATGCCTGAACCTCTAATGATATGGCATAATTGCCGAGTGCCAGTTGATTTTTTAAGCAACGCAAGGCTGGATATTTGTTTTAGGAAGATTTCCTTATCACTTTTCTTTTGGAGACAGGTTTGAAATTTAGATTGATTAATCTGTATTTTGCCATTTTTTAGTTTAAAGTAGCGCATAATTTTTTTTTTTTAATTATTTAAAAACATGTTGTATCCAAAATCTAGGTGTTCATTACTGGTGCAATATACGCTCAGAAATTCTTAAGTTTTTTTATGAATAACAAACTAATTGGTTGTATATAAATGATACAATCAAGAATCATCATCAGGCCTTAAGCTGTAGCTTACATTAATATTTAAAATGTCTCTTAAATTGTACATTTACCTTAATTCGTTCTTATTTAAAACAGTACGGGACAATGATTATCTTTTAAAAATAATATGTTTCTCTCCTTTCCAAAGCTATATGCGATAAACGTTCCAGTATGGAAGTAACTTGAATACATATTATAAATAACTACACATTTAGATACATAATAGGATATTATTATCAATTTCAAAAATGTAAGAAAGTTTGTACTTGCTAGGTTAAGTAAGGATACATTTTTTTCGCTTTCATTACACCTTCGTTTCTTCCTGCAATGATCAACGGTTAATATATTATGGATTTATTAATGATTAATTTGAGAATTCTAGGTCCAATAACTCCTTCATAATATCGGACATAATAATGAATGAATTCTCGATACACTGATTACATCTTCGTGACTGAGGTCATCCTGTTCGGTCGATAAGCAAATGACTATCCTTTATCGGAGAGCAACAAGTCAATTGGGTGTAGAAGGCGTTTTGACAACCATCGGCTCTTGTGGTCACGTTATGACATATGACTTGTCGCTTTGTTATTTAGATGCTTTTAAGGTGTATGAATCATTTTATTCATCCGTTATTGTAAGCGTTTAAAGCCCAGAGAGTTCGATTATTCCGACTCTTGAGGACATTTCTAAAGGTCTTGGTACTCGAAAGAGGAACGTTCATTCTTGGGTAGAGAAGTGAGCAGCGGATTGATCATGGAATTAGCGGTCTTGATGGAAAACATACATCAAGTTCGTGTGTTATGAAATAAAACAGAATTTGAAATGTCCCAGGTACCAATTCGGTGTTGCTGATTTATTCAAATCCCATATTATAATTTTAAAAAATGAGTACTTAAACACCTTCAGTGATGATGACCCACAAGCTTGGATTGAAACGTTAACAACAATAAAAATCGTATAAACTGACTGCGTCCTGACTATTTTTAATAAAAGCGCACAAGTAATGGACTTAGCTAAGGAAATATTTTTCTTTTTTGGCTTATGCCGCCATAATTATTATAGTTATTAATTAATTATTATAAACTTCTCCGTCGGACATTTAGAATATCTAGGGTCTCTCCTTTCTATTTAACACTTTATTGAAAACATATTCAGTTATGCAGATATAATCTCCATTAAAAAAAAAAAACACCTTTTTGCACTATGAATGGACACACCGAAATTCAACTGTTATAGCAATGGTTATAGTAATGGACAGAGGGTTGGTATCTGTGAGGAACATAACCCCGAAAAATTCTAAAATCTTCGTTTAACTATAAAGATAAGATAAGATAAATGTTCAACTTACAAACTACTAGCAAAACTTTTAGTAGAAAGGTATGAAACACACTGATCTCAAGAGCACTATAGAAACAACAATGATAAACATTTAAAAATTATCTTTTGGAAACTTTATTCATAGAATTGTCAATAGAGAGCATTGTGCTTCAGTCTAGAAAAAACTGTAATTTTTAAATCAACAAACAAGGAAGCTTATTATTTACCTTTAAAGTCCATCCTGTCCATAAGTGGCCCTCCTGTCCATAACTGGTGCGTTCACCCTAGTTAAATATAATAACTATTACAAATCGCCACATTTATAAATGATTCAAGAAAAATTCGATTTTGGGAAGAATTTGGTAGTAAGAGATTTTTAAAAAATATTTAACATACATACATTATTATCAATTAATACCTATCATCCATTATATATTATTTAAATAAGCTTATTTCATATATACTTATTTGAAAAATATCTACAAAATGTTATTCATAAATCAGTTTTAAAGAAGAACTATATTCTATAAGATGGTTTATTGAAAAAAGGCAGTTGGTTAGAAATCTTCATTTATGAGGCTCTAGAGAATTAATTATAATTAAAAATCTCCTAGTTGCAGTATTTAGTCATTCTGTTGTGTCCCTACACTCAATAAATATTTTTTAAAAATATAATCTTAAATTTAATTATTATTTATACCATTTTACTTCTGTTTATTTTTTTTTTGTGCATACAGTGTGAATGTAGTCTGACTATAAAAATTGTATATGTAACAGAGTGTTATTACTCAATAAATAAATATACTTTTAATAAAATTATTTATATGATATTGAAATACTTTCAACAGTAATCTTATTGCAGTTTATTCTATGTTTCTAAAAAATATCATTTTCTGTGTTTCAGGTGAGTCATTTCACGTCTGTTACTAGATTGTTAGTCACTACCGAAAAAGAATCGCTGTGGTGAGTTTTACAGGCGTTAGGATATATATATATATATATATATATATATATATATATATATATATATATATATATGAGGCTATATATATATATGAGGCTCGTTATATATATATATATATATATATATATATATATATATATATATATATATAACCCTTAATTATTATTATTAGCAATAATTCAAATTTTTCGAAAATATGAACCATTTGTCCACTTCACTCTTAAATTTCACATGGGGTGTATATTTAAAAGTCTATTTTTACATATTCATTACATTCATACAAATATATGAGTGTGCGAACAGGAGGTTTGTTGTCATTATTCCAAAGGAGGTTCTCTGACTTTTTCTGCTCCCAAATTTGACACGTCCTATCTTAACTGCATCTGAAATTATCTTCCCATCTAGTCCTTGGATCTCCTTTCTTCAATTCACCATTCAGTTCTTTCCAATGTTATCTCGATCCTAGTATAGTTTTCTATTTTAAATATTTTTCAATAATTTTACGAAAATGTCATTGTAGGTGACATAACAACCGAATGATTGAAGGGAAACTGGCAATCGGAAGATTGTGAAATTACACGTATCCTTAGTTTCACATAGTTCTACGGCCTTACTCAATATTAAACTTTAGAATAGCTCATTACTTTAATTACATAATTGGTATTATAATTTGTTTTAATAAGACAAAATATATAATAATTATAATATAAATGAGAGTAAGAACACAAAATAACTCAAAAAACAACAGTTGTTAGATTATTATTGGAAGATTAAAAAAAAAGAAAAACAATAAATTATTAAACTCCGAAAATACCAGCTAATAGCTGACCACTTAATGTTTAACAAATTAATACGTTCATTTATACGAGAGAGAATGAAAAGATAAAATTAATGCTGACCAAAGACAACATATCCCACATCAACAGTTTAAAAATGGCTACCAAATCGACCCATTACATCGCTCCAAGATTTTAATTTTTAGTTTTGTTACATCAGTCAATTGACATTTGTTTTAAATTATGATGATTTTTTTTTCTCGAACGGATTCGGTCGATTATGTGTGGTGAATATTTTTGGATACTGTAGAACGTGGTTTGCTTTATTGTATTAATCTATACAAGAAAACCACATAAGATACGGGAACCACAACTCAAAAATATAATCGTGTAAAAAATGAATTGTAATTTATTAATTTGTAGAGGTCCATTAAACCAGAGTCCTTTGTAATTTAATACCAGAGAAGTCAGTCTTTAATACTACGGTATTAATTTATCCCCTAAGTTACCTGTAAGTTACGTCATCAACTTCGCGTGATTTGAACCTATAATTTTTAACTTAAAAAAAAAATGGGTCTTGCTAATCAGATGGTTTAGTAGCCTGCTCACGATATTCAAGAATACTTTGGGTTTAATTTGTTCTAAGTGATTTGTTATCGTGGCTTGGATTAATTAAGAAGTTTGGAGTTGTGTGCGATTTTTTTTGTCACTCATTATTTACTTAGCACGTGATTGGCAGTTTGGTATTGTTTTCGCAAGCTGTTCAAGTGCGTTTTGTGTTTCTTTCATTTGGTTCATATGGGGAAGAAAGTAAATAAATCTTTGCTTTTAAAACCTCTTGAATATATTAGACGAATAGAGTATATGAATATAATAAATGATATGAAAATAAATGTTTATATAATTCACTTGATGACATGTTAATAATATTAAGAAATGTATAAAACATTTTGGTATCATTCTTGAAAATGACGAATCCATGGGAGAGGGAGGAAGTGTTTCAAGCTGAAACACCAAAAATGGAAGTATATATATATTTTTTTATTATCTCAAATTTGTTTCTGTGAGCGGTCTAAGCTAAATATCAAAATATATACTGTTTTTATTAAAAATTATTTATCATTTATTTCAGCTACTAAATGAAAGCGCATGTCAAGAAAAGAATATAATTTTTTGAAATGAAAACTTATTTAGTAGCGTTTTTCAATTTTTTTTTTTTTTGCGTAGACTGAATTAGATTGAGCCGTCAGATCTCTGATGTGTAACGCTCGGGTAAAGTTGGCTGGAATCGATTAATTGAAGTTTTTTTGCATAAGGATTAACATATAACAGAAAATAAAAATCGGACCTGCATATTGTTAGCAAGTGAAATGTTTATCATTGCATCCTCTTCATTGAAAATTGTATCTTAACCCGACGCCGTGAGAGAGGTAGAAAATGAACAAATAGTGCCAAAAATGATAACGAGTTTTTTGGAAGATAGAGATTGAAATATCTCAGAAACTAAAAATTAGACCTGCATACTCTAATCGAGGAAATTGTTCAGCTCTTTATAATGAGCTATTATTTATAATTTATATTATTAACCTCGCTTGGTTGATGTTTTCACTTCTATCGTGTGGTCTAGCACACACCTTAGTTTTTTTATATTTTGAGTGGTCTAAATTATCATTTACTAAATTGCTGTAATTTAACAAAATATCGTTTGATAAAATATATAAAACATACAGATATTTTCAGTTTTCAGTGAATAATTACATCTTTAAAGCAGATTCTTTATTAACCTTCATTTATTTATTTTTGAAAAATCGTTATGTATATAATTAATGAGATTAAGTTCTGTGTCTTATATATTAAACAGAATTCTTATGTGGTAGCCGAGCGGACTAACGTGTTTGCAAAATACACGTTGCGCGGTAACCTACTAGTGTGGTCTAATGCACACACCTTAGTTGTTTTGTTTTTTAGTGGCAGGTATTCTAAGGCAGTTTGTTTAATCGTTTCCGCAACAAACTTGCCGGATGCTCAGTGGAGACGGCAGGATTCGCAAAAAAAAAAAAAAATAAATAAAATTAATGAAGGGTCAATTAATTATTAATAACTTTCTAACGAGCGCCACGCTATTTAATTGGTTGAATTTGGAAAATAGCGAAAACCATAAAAAAAAAAATAAAATAAAATAAATAAATAAATTTAATTTAAAATAAAAAAAATTGGGTCGCCGAGTGAACTACGAACTCGGAAAATTTGGGTTTAAAAACAAATGTTAATTAACCTTCCTACTTGGTTAACCTATCAAACCGTCTTACTTGGTTAATTATGACTTTCCCTAATCCCTCGAATAGGGTTTTACAATGCCTTATTAAACCTTAAAAAAAAAACAATATAATAATAAAATAACATTATTATTTTGTGCAGTTGGTTTATTTTTCTTCAAGAGTATCTACCGTTGAAAAAATAATGATAATAACGAAATATAATTTAAAAAACATGCCATCAAAATTAAATCCTGGATCCACTACTGGTTCTAAATATTGATCGCTTTGGATCACCGCATTTCTGTATCTGTCAATTGCGACCTTTAGTCTCGAATTTACGACACTTGTATCTTTTTTTTTTATACTGCATTTCCGTATTTCCCAATCATCCTGACATTTACATAATTAAATTAGTTAGAGAATCCGAAATGCTTTTGGAAAAATTGGATACATAGAAGGTTCATATAGCGCACAGATCAATAATTATGTTTCTGGTGAACTCCGTCATTTAAATTTTATATACATAGTTTTAATTACACAGAATTTTTTCTGTTTAAGGGTACTTGTCCGTTACGTAAATTTTCACATTTCACACAATTATATGTAAATTTTTTAGCTTAATCTCCTCCAGGGCTGTCAAAATATTCATTGACTATAAGTGGTAATCATGAAGATAATAATGTAATGCATAAGGCATCCCATCCGTGTCATTAATGTGCTTTGATTCATGTAATTCAGACCCTTTATCTTGTTCTCAGGCCTAATGGTTGTATTTTTTTTTTTTATATTTGTGAGTTTACTGTCTTATTGCGTGTGGAATTGATTTCAGCGAGTTAATTTGTATGCCCTGAATTTCGGTGTGTGAGGATGGGAATGATGATCAGTTTATTAAGATTAGATAAAAATGATATAAACTATTGCTGATCAAAGTTTTTAACGTTCTTCATTGAGTTTATTTCATTTTTAAAACAATTTTAAACCTTTGTTCATTCTTTAGCTGCTTAAGTCAAAAATATTGACAAAATGCACCTATTAAATAATTAACTACTTATTATTAGCTGTTTGTAATGAAAATGAATAATATCTATTTTATAAATTAATTCAAAACAACGTTTTAAATGTTATTAAGTTTAAATGTTATATCTAAATATATAATATTTAGCTTAAACTACCCTTGGCTAAATATTACATGGTTCTCACAACGATTTTCGAATTTAATCGCTTGTTTCTCTGAATAAGATATTTGAAAACGTAGATTTTATTATGATGAAATGTAATTTTTGAGAACTTGACACGATATATTTATGTTTGAGGCTGTTGATTCCCGCAAAAAAGGTTTAAATTAAATTAAATTCTACTTCTAAAAATCATTCTGTTTGTATCAAAACTTAAGTTTTCTCGTTTAAAATAATATTTATTTATTAACAATAAAAAAAAAAAAGTGGTTGTATGAGAAGTTCCATAATTCTTGTTTTATTGTAATGTGTCGAAAGATGGATCGATTATTATTTTATTTCACGACTTTTTACAACATTGGTCATATGTCGTCACCATGATAAGTTTTTTCGTCACCATAAGTTTTTTTTTCCATCTTCTTCTATCCTCCCAGTCTTCTTCACGCATGCCCCTGTTCATCATCCCTCCCTTTACGCCCTCATATTAGTTTCTCTTCGGGCGACATTTCTTCCGTCTTCTTTCTGGTTTGAACTCCCAAATTCGCTTAGGCCACCGTTCCTATTCCATCCTCATCACATGCCCATACCACTTCAGCCTCATAGTTTCAATGGTATCTAGGGTATTCTCCGTTTGTTCTACTCGTTCCCTTATTTCACAGTTTAGAACTTTTTGAAGGGGAGAGACATAATCGTCTCCAATAGTCCATTTCTAGTTCTAGTAATCTTTTTGATTGACTCTCTTTAATTGCCCAAGATTCGGCTAAATTGAAAGTAACGCTTTCCAGGAACGATTTGTAAATGTTTTTTTGTTACTGAGGATCTTTCTCTTTCCGTTGATTTTCCTCTTCTCAATATCCATATCTGATGATCTTGTCGCATTCACCCAGCTCCCTAGATACTTAAATTGAGCTTCATGTCAATTTACTTAAATTAATTAATTACTTGAATCGATTAACTTGTGATAAAATGCACATCAACGTCAATCAAACTTTAAATAAAAAATATTAATTTAATGACAATTAATTTTAAATTATCCTAACCACTCACCTCTGAGACTCTGAGAAAAAACACTGCTTAATCTATACACATAAATAATGGGAAAAAAGTGTTGAAAAAATCATTTCAAAACAATGATTCATAGACGTTGAATCAGAATTCTAATCGAACATTATGCCAACGGAGTTATCTGCAGACGTTTTTTGTAACTGATGAACATTCACTTGCTTCAAGATAAATTCATAGGATGACTTCATACCTCCTAAATATTATATGTTTCCAGTTATGGATCCAGGATTTAATTTCGAGAGGTGGGCTCGGAGTATTTGAATTACTCAGGAAGAAAAAGAAAGAAATTGGATAAAATAAAGTTTAAGTGATCCTTAAAGGCCAGTAAAAAAACAATTGCGATTCCAGGAACAATAATTTTGTAATATACTAGAGATAATTTTGTAATATCTTTTTCTTGCGAATACAAATTGCGATTGCTTTAGTATTTTGTTCAGATTACTGGCAAATATAAATATGTAACAATGAAAAAATAAAATATATCATCCCAATTTGAGTGGTAGGACAGAGGCTTGAACTGAAAACCTTCCCCCTTGTTGGTCCGCCGGTAAATGTTTCTAATCTTTCTTTACTTGGACATGTTTCTTTAATTTTAATGTTTTTTGGGAATGACGTCGAACTACATGTTGTATTTGTCACTTTTGGTGGTTTCTCTACATCCCATAATGCCAGATTTGAAAAGCTTCGCATCCTTAAATCCACAGGACTGATTATCTTCCTGGTCCCCTCTTTGAAGCGTGAATTACACTATCGTGTGTCTTCAGCTTATGGGATCTTCTCATCTCCTGATCCTCGGGGACACCGGATACACCCCTGAGGTTACTCTACCTCCGGAGTTTCAAGTTCCACGAATGTCCCGGTTGTGTCATTGTTACGAATAGCCGGGGAGTTTTCCGCCAACTCCTCTGGAAGAGCATGTGTTTGCTCTAGAGGGAGCACACAATGAGGCTCCTAGGGTCGACAATGCGGCGGAAGTGTTGGCAACAGTCTCCTTCTTGAACATCTGCCCTTCTTGGGCACCTGCGTACCTGACGTCACGGGACTTATCCTCTTCCTCGGCGTTATCCTTGAAATCTTGTCCTCTAAGCGATATTTTGCGGTTTTATAAATACTTTGATTTTTTTTTTCTTTTTTGTCAGGGGTACATCTTTACCTTCAGGTTTAACAGGATAGCGATAAGATATAACACCTTTTGGGTCTATAGTCAGACGATTGAATTTCATTTAAATTATTCAACTATAATTATAAAAGAAAAGCCATACATTTAGAACTTAGTTAATAATCAGTAATATTTTATAATGGACAAATTTGCTTTTATTATTGAAGTGGTAATTAATTTGTTTATACTATTTAATAGTTTCATTTAATTGGAATTAAACATATTATACTTGTTTAATCTGAACACATCTTATTTTGGAGATGATTTGAAGAAATAAATAGTCAAATTTTCTTTCTAATATTTCTTATGATCAGTTTATACGTTTTTCGCCAGGTCACATTTGGCCACCCCGCCTCCTAGTCATTCCACACCTATCATGAATGTGACAATCAATCAATTGTTGAATTTTGTAATGGAATTTTAGGAATGAGGAAGGACACTACATAGCAGCACATCTTCTTATTCTTTGTTTACTTATTTTAATTGAGTTTACTTTTTCCAATGTTTACTTTCTTAATTGAAGAAAGGAAATAGGTAGATCATTGTAATTCCAGTCGCTTGTTTGTTTCACGCCTAATTTCAAAATTGTTACATTTATTAAGGTTACTTTTTTGACACAACTGTATGACATATCTTTGGTATAATATTTTAAAAGTTATTGACAGTTAAAGTGTAATCAATTTTAAAAATCGAACAATAAACTGTTCAAATTATTTAAAAACCATTATAATGAATAGAAATAATTTTTTAATGAAAAAATTCTGCCAATAGTATCGATTCCATTCAATAAATTATAACTGTTGGCAAAAATAACAGTATAGCAATAAACAAATTAACAGTTTCAAGTCAATCAGCAGCTTAGTGAATATGGAATCCACTCTAATATACATTTCGCTGGATACCAATTTTGCAGTAACCGACATGTGACATTAGTCGTGGGACAGATTTCAATTTTCAATTCGGAATACAAATACATATATATAACCTAAAAAATATTCAAAACTCTTGTATAATAGAGAGAATCATTCCGACTTCAATTATCACATAACACTCTGTAATTGAGTTCAAATTAATTGAAATGCGATCAGAGGCTGAGACAACTATATATGTGGAGAGTTTTGCAAAATTTACAGAACAGCCACAGCGTGACTGCTGATAAAAAGAACTAAAGATGTTGGTTTTCATTTATTATATTTTTTATTACTAATCTTTTATTGTGAAACAAAAATATATATTTTTTATTTATTTTTAAAAAGTTTTGGTATCACTGAAATGTTTCCTTTCCTACTTTTTAAGTAAGCATTTTACAGAAATTTTATTTTTGAACAACTTTTATTTAAAAGTTCTGTCGATTTCGATAAAAAGTCGATCTTAAAAATGATTCTTATTCTTTGCTTCTTAAACAAACGGCACATTAGAATCACGAGAAAATTCATTTAAGACAAACTCTCATCTAAGCCCAATTTCTGTTGTTGTTTTTTTTATTATTTAACAAAAACATTTTTTAAAGAACTTAAATAAATAAAAGTTAAACTTTTACCATAAACCTGGAACTTTATTACAAGAAAGTTGCTTGTAAATTTTATACAAACCCTTTTTTTTTCTCAAAAAGTTTTGCAGATACTATTAAAATGCCAGTTTTTAAAATTAAAAAAAAATCCTTAAAAGTTTCAACCCCAAGCTAAGATTCTTTCATACCAAGAACCTCAGCCTTTCTAGCTGATTAGATTAGTAGAGAGGGAAGTTTCTTAGTGGTTAAGACATTGACTTCATATACTCAAGGTCCTGAGTCCGAATCCGGCTAAAGATAGGTAATTATTTATTCCGTTAAATCAGCCGTGAATCGACCCGAGGAGCGGGAGACCCTCCTGGGGCACACCCAGCCTCTATAAAGTGGGCACTCTTTATTAAATAATTAATTAACGGGGAAAATCTGGCAATCTTGGCCCAAGCACCTCCCTGCATAACTGTTGGCCTTAAAACGGTACTTCCTAAAAAAATAACTGAATCCATGACACTTCATGGGTTTTAATGATACAATAATAATGAATAACTAATAGTGGTATTATTGTTGACTAGTGAATAATTGAAGAGAATGTGGTTGAAGATATAATTTATTTATTTCTAAGTTGTGTATTTTTGACTGAACCCCTCCCCCCCCCTCCCAACCATCTTCTCTTCAATAATGAATAAAATAGATCATAATTATTATAATTTGTAAATTGAATTACATTTAATAATTTTATTTTGCATGTTACTACTTATAATAATAATAATAATAATAATAAAATAATGATTATGATTATAAGAGATTCAAGCTGAATTTTATTTTCCCTCTTCATTGTTCTGAATATCTTGAATATTTTTATAGTATCACCAGCAGCCGCTGGTTCTTCTCAGGAATTGAAGGAAAAGTTCAGCCCTAGTTGGCGGGTATAAAATAAATAATTCATGAAATACAGGCTTAGCCGTACCTTAAAGATTTCACCTAAGTGAATTTTCTCTGCCTGTTTTCTTCGGATATTTTTTCGGATAATGCAGTGAATAAGTAAAAATCTAGCGACATGAAAGTCTTGGCAATCGGTTTATGTTTTATAAAATTAAACGATTCCTTTGTTTCAAGTGATGAAAAGTCTTAATAACATGTCGTTCGTTTTGCTTTTACAGTTTTGCTACTTAATTTATACCTAGGACTCCACCTGGACAAACGTCTAACTTGGAATTCTCATACCAGACTGAAACGACAAGAAACCGTTAGACGTTTCCGACTACTTCAGCACTTGCTAGACAAACGTTCTAACCTTTCAATTAATTACAAAAGACTCATATACATGACCATAATAAGGCCTGTTTGGACTTACGGAGTTGAGCTTTGGGGAAACCATCGAATTCCTCTCGTATCCATTCTTTACAATCGAAAATCCTTTGTAAAATCCTAAATACTCCTTACTTTGTAACAAATAAAATAATCCATAATGACCTGAATGTTCCATATGTTTCCGATTTGGCCCAATCCAGATACCTATTCTTCCATAATAAACTTCGTAACCATCCTAATCCTCTCTTTTCTAACTTTGCTTCCCCCTCGATCCCTGATAACCCTCCTAGGCGTCTGAAAAGAAGATGGCCCCGTGATCTCCTAATTTATAAAGTTGATTAGATTGCTACCAATCTGCAGATTCTCTATAAGCCTTGTCATCTCATATATTTCATATATTTCTTATATGAATATTTCTTTTTAAATAAATATTTTCATATATTTCTTTCATATATTTATATTCATATATTTCTCTGTATCACATTTTCTGAATGTATATTGATTGTACAGTTGTAAATTTCATAAATAATAATAATAAAAAACTATTTAATTTACATAATACTCATTTCATCTATATAATTAATTATTGTTATTAGTATTATAATAAAAAATAGATAAACTATTTCAGAATTCTAAATTTGAAATTAAATTGTTTAGTTCGAACGATTTTTTAATGTGCCATGTGAAAAAAATATTATTAATTAACTTAACAAGTATAAAATATAATGGATGATATGCCACCTTTTTTTACTCAGATTATTAGATTTTTTTGCAGACACCTCACATATACGTCATAACATACGTTCTGAACATAATAGAGTTACGTAGTTTCTCTGAGTTTTTAAATATTAAATGTGAGTTGTTGGAAACTAAAAATATTTTTCAACCATTCGTTATCTTGTGGTTTCGTTATTAATCTATCCATTTTGACAGTTACCTCGTAATTTATGCATACATATAAATGATTTGAACATGTTGCTGAATATATGAATTGTATATTTTTAACGAAGGAAAATAATTTATTTAATAGAATGCAGTTAGAAAGGAATTGAAAATATTCATACCATGGATATATTTTATATATATGTGTGTTTGTGAGTGCATGTATGTCTAAATAAGTCGTAGTTGACAGTTAAGTTATTATGTTTTTTCTTCAGTATTTTTGTTTTATTTAATGTCGATATTGCTCTAATTAAGATATTTATTTATACAACACAATACATTATTTGATTTAAATTTTTGTATTATAACGGAAAATTAGAATTATGGGTCTATAATTGTTTCCTTATAGGCTGAAGGACTTAAAATGCAGGTGTGTCGATTGGGTGCGAATTGGGCCACTCCCGTTATTTTAAATGTCTCCACTACCTTGATCCTAAGAGCTCAAGTATCGAGGAAGCTTGGCTACTTTAATTGTTGAATAAGAAATTTATAAATATTAATCAGTATTTATAATTAATTATTTACTAATTTAGAATTATTTTCCAATTTAGATCTATTGGAAGATGTCGGCCGATTTTCTCAATTTTTGTTGGAAAAATATTAAGATTTCAATTTAAAATTATTTTTCTCATTGCTCAGTGTTTACATTTTATTTTTTATAATATTTTTACGTTTATTTCTAAAATACATTGATTAACAAACAACAATGGTGATTCAAAATTAAGGGGATGCAATTCATGATTGATTAAGAAACAACGTTTTAATTTACCATAAACGCGTTAATTATGTATTGTTTACTATTTATTTATTTTTTAAGTAATTCGAAGTAAAATTCTTGTTTCGTTTCGTTATATCATAGGAATAATAGCCTTTCAATATTAGACACTTAAATAAATATGTATTATAAAAGATGATCTTGGGAAAGAGACTATAGTACGTATTAGTAGGAATAGGCTTTTTCAGTCTCTATAAATAATAACTTTATTTCAAATTTATCCAAATTTTCGTCTCTTCAGGAATCTTCAGGGATAATCTGATTTTATGTAATTCAAAATTTTCATTTGCTTTTCATCTGTGCATCCACATGCGCACCTAGTTGAAGAACACAACTAAGTGTGAAAACAATGACTAAGCGTGCATGTGGGTGCCCAAATGCGAGACCAAGATGACTGTTGGTCTTGCGCTCTACGTCTTGATCTTGGTCTTGCGCAAGAGTCTCGCATGCCTTGCGGTTACATATTAGATTATTACTATAGCGATATTACCTTAATTTTTCAGGTTGGTGAAACATAACTAAGTCCAAATGAATAATTTCACAAAAAGAATTTTTTTTTTCCATTCTTGGTCTTGGTTTTGCATAGTGCAAGACTAAGACCGATTTTGGGCAACACTAATAAATATGTATTACAATAAGTTAGTTTTTAAAAAAAAATACAAAAAAAAGAAAGGAAGTTCGGTTTTTTATGATTTGATGGTTCTGTACTGTTATTACACTTTGTTAATTAAGGTTATATTGTTTTTATAGCATTAAACAAATTTGTTTACTGTTATTCTTATTGGAATTCATTAATGAATGGCGTAGTTTAGCTAAATCCGTTCTTTATCCATCGTAATTGATTGTTTTATACAGCAATTCTAAGTTTGCTCGATTTTTTATAATTCTTGCCACGAAATATAGTTCCTGATATTGAGGTGTGCCACAATTGAATTCCGTCCCCTTTTCTTTTACTCCCTACTAATTTTCCGATATTTTTTCTATATTGTATAAGCACATTTCTTTTTAAAGCATTTCCCTTTTGTGCATTTTTAGAATATAAGTACATAATGATATCAGTTAATTACTATTTGAAAAAAAAAATGTTATCTTCATCTATATAGCTAGATCTAAATACATTTGTTTTTTGTTTTCTATTGAATAATAATACAATCAGCCACTGCTGGAGGGCTATAAGCATTAGGGCTAAAAGTTCTCATTCATACAATATATACAAATAATAGAGAAATAAATATAAATATAAGAAGTAAATAAATAATAATGATGAAGAAGGTAAATAAAAAGAAAAAAAATAAACAAATAAAATAATAACTTCTAAACACAATCATAACTATATACAATAAATACATTTTTAACCCCGAAATATTTAAATAGATTAAATCAGACCGGTAGTAATTACGTTGGACGATTCGGCATGCCCCTTCAAGATATTCATCACACATAATAAAAATCTGTATTCTCTATCACAGTCTGTAAAAATGATTGTCATATGGAGTTACCATATGCCTCACTCGAATTCAATATACAGAAATCTCGAGGTTGACATTCATAAACCGTGTACACGATAAAACATTCACATAATTATAAACATAACCATCAAAGAAATAATATTTACACTGAGCCTGGGAACCACAACACAGTTCTTCCCCTCATGAATATAGGGGCTGCACTTCTCAGAGGATCCCAGTGTTTTATCTTTCAATATAACTAGTCTTGAAAACCGTGAGATACACCGTAGATGACATGGCTGAAACACGAATTATTTATTCGTTTCTTATATTTTCATATATTTTTTTCTTAAATATGCTCCTCATTGTTGCTGATGAGACTGAGAATCGGTTTAAATTAAACAATAGTTCTTTATCGACCTGTGTAAAAAGCAAGCGTTTAATTCTTATAGACATTTTTGTTAGAAATATGGTTTGTAAAAAATTTAAGTTAGTAACGTTTTGCTATCGATTAGTGTAAAATGTTGGCATCGAGTTGTTAAAAAAGATATTATGCTAATGATAATATAATCGTAACATTTTTGTATATACTCACCTTTACTGACAGGCAATCATTGTTTTTCTATTTGCTTTGTATGTACTTTAATATTATCTTCACGGAGGTTTCTGCCATGTATAATATTGAAAACAATTTTTTGTGAACTGATCTTAATAAACTGATAATGAATAAACTTGATAATGAACTGATTTCTTAATAAAGATCCTCTATATACTGTTCTCAAAATGATCATTACTGTGTGTAAGAGCGTGCATGTGTTAAAGTTTATGGAACTATTAATGGCTAGTTAGAGACATGTAGGCGAAGATTTTTAATTAATGATAAAATATTAAATATGCACTGTGTTTTAAATAAAATTAAAATCAATTGTATTTATTCTTAAATTGATAAACTTGAGTGGAACAAGGTGTGCTCCTAAGATCTTAGAACATTGTCATCTTTTAGGTTGATGTCAATACATAGTCTATTTTGTTCGCCGGCTCATTGACATATAACTATTTTTCAAATGTTTTACGGGAAGAAATATTGAGTTGTATAGCGTGAAAGTCAATTTTGGTTTTGATCTGTTTAAATATTTCAGTAAACTTCCTCCGCGATTTTCACAAATAAACGCACACGACAAAAGTATACATGCAATTTCCAAGAAACTGAAATTGACTACCATTCTCTATACTTAATAGAAAAGAATTGAAATATTATAATATATATATACATATAGGTTATTGTATTGGAGTGTAGAAGTTCATGATTCTACTCAATATTTTTTATTGCTATCCCCGTCTTATAAACTGTGAAAGTAGAATTATAATGATTGTGGTTTATTTATAATTACTTGTACTTTGTTCTAATGTTTTTCTTTATTCTCCGAAAGGTCATCCGAATTGAAACAATTCAAAAGTACGGTAAGACGCATAGAAAATCCATGTGACCCTTAAAATGTATTTCTCCCAAACATTAATACAGTGGCACAACTTGCCATTGTTTATTATTATTAACATAGATCTCTCTCTATGAATTTATATATGTTATTTGGTTGCTTAGTACCCAAACGAAAATATTTGATACAATTAGATTATGGTTACATTGGAGTACTTTTAGGGGTGCCCAGAAGTTGCGCCATCGAAAATTTTTAAGGAAGACAAATTTAAACTTAATAAGGGTGAACACACCACTTATGGACAGGGGGCCCAGTGATGGACAGGTAAATAATAAGCTTCCTTGTTGATTTAAAGGTTCCAGTTTTTTTCTAGATTGAAGAACAATGTCCTCTATTGACAACTGTATGGACAAGTTCCCAAAAGAAAATTTTCAAAAGCTTATCATTGTTGTTTCTATAGTTCTCTTGAGATCAGTGTCTTTCATACCTTCCTAATAATAGTTTTGCTAAGAGTAAGTTGAACATTTACGTTATCTTATCTTTATCGTTATCTTTATTTTTCTGATGTATGACTATTACTGGTACCGACCCCTGTCCAAGACAAGAACAATTGAATTTCGGGGTGTCCATCACTTGTGCAAAAGGTATATTTTTTTAATTGAGATTATAACTGCATAATTTAATTTTTTTCTTAATTTTAAAGTGTTAAATAGAAAAAGGATACGCTAGAAGAGACACTATAACTTTTTCGAAGGAAACATATTTTTGTGAGGTTCAATTTGGAGGAATTATAAAATCAGAAAGCGAAGAGAAAAGCATGGAACAAACTCAGCACGTGTAGTTAGTTAGTTGTATATGATCAGCAATTTTTCCAATTCTACTCTCGCTTGCATTATTTATGCAATACACTAAACGAGATATGTCCCAGTCACACGAAACACGTTGTCAGCATCGCTGCGGAAATATCGAACTCTTTGTGACTGATATAATGCAATACATAGTGATACAATCATATTGGCACGGTGAGTCCTGTTTGGTAGAACACAGCCCGCCAGTTTCAGACAGTCCATTAGTGTAGGTATAACCATTATTAATGCCGCAATCGAATCGAGAGACTAAATTTTACCTCACTTTGGCCCAAGAAGTTGAGTGAAATTGGGAGCAGGCATGACCACTCGGTTACCAATCCTGGTGACCTAGCCCTAATTAAATTCGCGGCAATATAGTTCAGTTAGGAAATTGGATGTAACGCTGGTATAGAGTTGCCCTAAGGCACAGCAGGAAGAAAGATGGAAAACAAAATAAGGAGAGAAAAAATCATATTACCGTATCGCCGCCGAAAGGAATGTCGTATCGCCGAATTATATCCGTACTCTTTGTGTGAGGGCCTTAAGAAGAGGAGAGCAATAAAATCTGTTTGGAGGGAGGAAAGCACCATCAACCTTGGTGAGAATGTATACCTCTGGTACTTAGCATTTAGTTGAGTTAATTTAATGTTTCATAATACGCTTCTGTATTATTCTAGGCAACAATAAATATAAATATTATGGTAGATATAATTAATATAGATTGCAGAGGCAGGTGCAGAGAGCTCATTAGCGGACCCGACCCAGGTAGTTTCCATTCGCGCTAATGAAATGATCAAGAGACCCTCGGTTGTTCTTTTGGGCGACATCGAGCCCGACCCGCTGCTGTAACGACATCCTGATATACCTATAAGGTGTGAAACGATAGGCCGTATTTGGTATTATGTAGATTAGGCAGGCCGTGGCGAGTTAACTATATTTAGTGATGGCGAGGGGCTTAGGGATTGAGCGGCGATCATGAATAATTTAGAGGTTTCCGCAGCCCGGGGCGGTTCTCAAGCCACCTCACTGTGTCCGCTACTAAATGCTTTGTCTTGCTTTTTTTATCCTTGAGCCCTCGTGCCTTATTGTATCGTATCGTTTACAACCTAAGTATCTGTTTTAGTATTTATACTCTTCGGTTTCTTAAGTAGTTTTCTTTTTGGGTTTTGGTTCGCCTTCGGCAAGTTACATCTATTGTTCGAAAGTTTTGAACGATCTTATTAAATGCAATTGTTTTATAATGTCAGTATTATTTATCGTATTTTCCTCTCTAGAACGAAATCAGTTAGAACTGAGATAATCTTGTTAATGCTGGATATACGCATTACATTGAAATTATCAATTTAAATTTCACATTTTTAAAAAAATTATATTTATTGAAATTCACAACTGTATTACATGTCAAATACAACAATTGAATCTAAAATTAGTAGCATGACATGTACAACATGAAAAGAACTATAGTTCTATGCTAGAAGGTCCCAAGGCCATCTTCTTTTCAGACACCTCGGAGGGTTATCGGGAACAGAAGAGGAAGCAAGATTAGAAACAAGAGGGTTTGGATGGTTCAGAAGTTTATTATAGAAGGGCAGGTATCTGGGTTCAGCCAAATCGGAAACATATTGTTCATTAACGTTGTTATCAATAAGTTTATTTGAGACAAAGTAAGGTGCATTGAGGGTTGATAAATATATTAAAGTTAAAACGCTGCAAATTATTTCAAAATGATTTGTTATTTCCAAACAATTATACATCTAAAGTAACATTACCTTCCTATTTACAAAGAAAAATAAATAAAAGGTGATTTCAATTATTGCACTAAACTTTTTTTTAATCATTAGTAATATGCTAAAAAAAATAACGTTACTTCAGTAACACATTCAAAATTTAAAAACCAAACAAAGGATATAACATTTGGAGTAGAACAAATACAAAAACCGGAGACCATATCTTTGTTCCTAATTGTCAGATTTTAACGATTTTTTTTTGTTTTTTAGCAGATTTCGTAAATTAAAAAAAAAACCATATACAATATCGACAAAAAAGTGTAAACGTTTTGAGTTATTCGGAATTTAATTTTACTTTTCCTCGTAATTTTTTTCCAGCTTCTTTTAGTTGAAGTATGTTATATAGATAAATTTAAAGGTCGTCGAGAAAATGACTAGCGAAGTTTCATTGATATCGGTACATTCGTTTAGGAGCTACAGTCTATAGCAACGGAGGTTTTTCGGCCGCCATTTTGAAAGTAAGAGGCGAATAGTAATGTCGATGAAGGAGGATCATCCTCGATTGAGCTCTAATTTTATATCCAAATTTGAAAAAAATCGGTGCAGGTGTTTCAGAGGAAATGCGCGGACGGCTGACGGCGGTCGGAAAAAAAATTTGTATTCGAATTCTACGCATCCTAAAACGTAAAACCTCAAATTTTGAGAGGGGATTAAGTTTTTGAATTTTTTGGTGGATCACAATGGTTTATTATTGAAAATAATAAACCAAAAATGATATATTTTTCGAACCAAATATTGAAAAGCATGAAAGAATTTTTTTTTTTTTGTAATTTATTTATTTATGATATTTACAACTGTATTAAGAAAAAATGCATTCAGTAAATGTGATAACAGAAAATAAAAACATGAAAACACTTGTTGACAAACTAACTACTGGTAGCACTCTAAAAAAAAAAGTATTTACAATAGGAGATCTCGAGGCCATCTTCTTTTTAGACGAGTCTGAAAGTTATCAGGGATCGAGGAGGAAGCGAGGTTAGAAACGAGAGAGTTCAGATGGTTCTGAAGTTTATTATGGAAGGATAGGTATCTGGATTGGGTCAATTCGAAAACACAAGGAATGTTAAGGTCGTTAATGATCATTTTATTAGTGACAAAGTAAGGAGCGTTGAGGATTTTATGAAGGATTGGATACGTGAGGAATTCGATGGCTTAGTGGACCCCCAAATCACAACTCCGTAAGTCCAAATAGGTCATGTATATGAGTCTTTTGTAATTAACTGGAAGCTTAGAGCGTTTGTCTAGTAAGTGTTGGAGTAGTCGGCAGCGTCTAGCGATTTCATGTTGTTTATGTCTGGTATGAGGATTCCAATGAAAGAAATTAACTTCGATACCATGACGTAGGATTGAATAGAAAAATAACTTCACTCTGGGACAAAGAGCGTAGAGCGAGAATGAAGAGAAAAAGTAATAGTAATCAAACCAGAGGTCCCTCGAAGGAAATAATAAATGGTATTCTAGAAACACCGATTTCTCAATAAATCGCAAGCTCAAATATAATAAAAAATGGCTTCGTTTTCTTTTTTTCTCTTAATTAAAACTTTCTCCATCTATGCCATACATAATCCTTTTTATAAAATAGTATAAATTTAGACGACAAACTAGAAAGAGAAGATTCCAATAAACTTACAAATGGACTAAGAGAAAAGGTTGGTTAAAACGGAGTAGTTTATGAAGATTAGACGCCACCAATTTTAAGTCTGGCCCTCTTGGTGCCACTAACCTCTGAGAAGTACTCTGTCCTGTGTGCCTTTTCTTCTCCTTCATTTCCCAACGAATTCACCCTTTAGGAGAAAGTCGGGCAAATTCAGCTTTTAACCGTCTCCATAGTAATAGCATGCTATTAGTGAATGTGAAATTTGAGTTGCTAAATATATAATAATAAAAAAATGTATAAGAGAAGGAGTTGATCTGGGGGTGCGGTCAAATAAATACTGAATTATAGAAATAGTATTATTTACTTATTATACCGATGTTTCGACCCACCTTGCAGGTCTATTCACCAGGGCTACAAAAGATACGAAATATAAAAGGTACATGGTGAAAATAAAATAAATGAATAATAAGTAGATATTAATTAAGAAAAAGTTGTCTGATAAAGAAATAATAAGATGATACCTACAGTTATCAAATGTATCCTCCACTAGCTTGTTATCCACTGATATCTTATTATTATTTTAGCTTTACTATATCAAAACTTATTCAAGTTTCACTCTCTTTATTCGTTAACATGAATTTTCTTTATCTGTTAACCTACAGTTATCAAATGTAATCTTTATTAGTTTGTTATACACTCATTTCTTATCTTTTATCACAATCTGTTTACTTTTAACTTGCATACTATATTCTCCTTTGTTTTCTTTTTCATACTTATTTTCTATTTTTGTTTGTATCTTCTATATATATATAATACTTGATATTCTAACTACATTGTCACCTACTATATCTCTGATATCATCTTATTATTTCTTTATCAGACAACTTTTTCTTATTTAATATCTACTTATTATTCATTTATTTTATTTTCATCATGTACCTTTTAAATTTTGTATCTTTTGTAGCTCTGATGAAGACCTGCAAAGTGGGTCGAAACGTCGGCATAATAATTAAATAATACTATTTCTATAATTTAGTATTTATTACGCACCCCATGATCAACTCCTTCTATATTATTTTATGGTCAACCATCACTACATCATTAAAAAAATATGTACGGAAACAAAATGAAATAAATGATAAACTCGAAAACGTAGGAGTACATTAGTAAAATAATTAAGGGGCAAGTTGTAAAACACAAGTCTGAATAAATCGACGTCAAATAATTTCCTATGGCATTTTAGAGAGCCAATACTGCAAGCTGAAAGTACAAGAAAGCATAGAAGCAAAACTGGGACAGAACAAAACCAATAAATTTCATAATTGTATAATATTTATTTTATACGTTTCTGTTTATAAACAGATTTCTCAATAAATCCCCATCTTATAACTCAGTGTATAAGGTGTGTATTTTAATTATTTATTATTCTGTTTATTCCACTACCGTGTTGATGTTACTTTGTTACCCTTCACTTTATTATTTTTCATAATAGCTAACTTGTATATTTTCATATCTTTACCCCATTACTTATAATACTCATATATTTTTATTTTTACTCAGTTCTTATAATTTATTTATATACAACATAGCTTAGTAGACAAAATAAATTTTACAATAGGTTTTATTAATTTTGGTTGTTATCTTGTCTTTTCTCGTCCCTTTGATGAAGGCCTATAACATCGGCACAAATTAAAATAAAAATCTTGTATTTTGATTTGTTCTCTCTGACTGCAATCCCAACTAACTTTCCAGCCATTAATGTTTATAAATTATTTAAGTTTTTATATTTATTATTCTCACATTTTCGGATTCGAAACCTAAAGGTGGGAGGACAAGTCCAACCACTTACAGGTATACATTTTTTTTTTAAATAATTAAAAATTGACTAATAATTCTGGCTGTGCCCAAGAGAACTGCTTGTTGAGCCTTTCTTAGCACACAAAGAGATAATTCCAAGCCGTCTGTACGTGCCACCATTGGCTTTGGAATCAGACCATTTCTAGTTATTATAATCTGTGTAACCATTATATTATCATTATTATTATTATTAATCATTATTACTATTATTTACGTCATTATACTAGTAATACTAGTTAATTATTAGTCGAAATTTCACTCCTCTCATCCATAAATCAAAAAGTTACTATTTACAATTCTGTCATTCTTCCTACTTTTCTTCACTGGGGCTAAATGTGGTCACTTATTTTAAAGTAAAGAACAACACATTAAGCGTTTCAGCTTACATTTAACTGGAGAAGTTGGAATCTACAAGAGAAAGGAACTTAATGAAACGGCATTTTGGGGAAAGCATTCTATGATAAATATAGGCTTAGCAAAAATTTAAAGGACGTGTAGAGTCGATGAACTTTATATTGACTTGACCAAACATCGGAAAAATAGAAAAGGCAGGCAGTTTCCTTAAAATTTAAAGTTTTATTTTTCAATATACGTAGAAACAAAAGACCTAAAAA